ATCTGCTCTCTTCTGCACGTTTGTATGTCCACGTCTCTGCACCCGCCTGTCTGTATGTCACACTCTACACAGGCCTGTCCGTCTGTCCTCACACGTCTGGCTGGCGCGCTGGCCTCCCAGCTTCTCTCGGCCTCCTGGCCGTGCGCCCCGCCTGCCGCTGTGTGGGTGTCGGGCTGGCAGTGCGCAGAGGGGCGCGGCTCGGCCCTCCCCTCCACCGCTTCCCCCCAGCTCAGGAATGACCCGGGCGGCGGCCCGGCGCTGCTGAGGCCCCGGAGTCGCGGCGCAGGGCGGCGGGAGCGGGCGGCCGTGGCGTGGGCCCCGCGTGGGCGGCTGTGCGGGGCCGGCGGAGGGCCGGGCGGGNAACAGTCTCCACGACCCCGCGCTCTTGGTTTCCCGGACCCCTAAACAACCTACCCAAGAAGGGGGAACCAGGACGCACTTATGGCTGGGGTGGAAGAGGAAAGGGGCTCCGGGCTTGAAGAGTTTGAAGCTAGAAGCCACCCGCGACCCTCGAGCAGGGAAGTTTGACCCTCCAACGGGCGGGTCACTAGGGCCATGCCCCCGCTTCAGTGCCTGCCTGCCGCGCTGGTCTATCTCAGTACCATCGGTGGGAGAGGAGGTTGTCCACACTGCAACCTTCTCCAGCTCTGGGTCAGACTTTGCCTGGCGCGGTAAGTGAGGCTGAGTCCGAAGCGGCTGCTCTGGCTGGCTGCGCAGCGCCAAGCGGTATAGCCGCCCATCCCCGCGCACCCTCGGAAGTTGGTTAGTGCCCACCCGCTCCACGGCTGACTCGCACAGCCCTTCCCCTCTCCCCATCGGCCAGGCGGTCCTGAGGCTGGCTCGAGGAGGATCCAGGGCTGCCCTCCTGATCCCACGCGCCGTGCCAGCTTGGAGAGCCAGGCCCAGGCTGGGCAGAGGAGGGCACGAGTGACAGGTGTCAGCCGCGGGGGCTCCAGGAGCTTGGTCCTTGGTCTTGATTCCACACAGTCCCACAGGCGCCTGCCTTTGAGCAAGCCCCTCCTGACTCTCCTCAAACATCCTGACTGCTCTACTGGGACAAGTAGCTTCACCTCTTTGTGCCTCAGTTGCTCTGCTGACATGTAGGTAGGATTCTGTTGTGAGCAACGTGTTCAAGGGCTTCCGAACCAGAGGGTGGGCTTGGCTGACTGTCTAGCTATGTGGCGTTAGGCAAGATACTTAACCTCTCTGAGCCTCAGTTTCCCTATCTGAAACATGGGGAAGGTGGGTGGATTGGAGGGAATAAATGAGGCGATGCCTGGGAACGGGCACAGGGCTAGCATAGTGGTTGGCACACAGCTAGCTGTCAATTCAGGCTGACCACAGGAGACATTCTGTGAAGTGTCCAGCACCAGTGGATGCTAAGGCAGAGCAAGGTCCTCTGAGGTGGTAGGGACACCACCCCTTCTCAACCCCGCTCCGAGGAAATCTTGAATCCCCTAAGGCCTGTTGACACATACTGCAATGGCAGAACCCTCTCCTTAGGGCCAGCCCTTTCTCACTGTTCCCTCCTCCCTGGATGCCCTGCTTCCCAGCGGGCACTGGCCTCCCCCTACCTATCATCTCCATCCCAGTTGAGAAAGACTATCTAACCCACTCTTTCTTTGGCCCCAGATTGAGGTCTGTTCCCCAGGCAAAGGGCTCCCCACATCCTTCTCATACTCTGTGCGAGGGAATTCACACCTCCCTCCACTCCTGGGTTCGGGCCTAGGGAAGACTGCTTTCCCTGAGGCACAATCAGACAGTCAGGTGGCTTGGATGTTCCAGTGGTGACAGTTCAGACAGGCAGCGAAGAGCAGCAGAGGGAGCAGCTACTAGGGCAAGGAGACAGTGGGAAGTAGGAGGGGGTCCCAACCCTGAAGCTGTGTGGACTGTGGTATGTTCATCCAGGCGACTGAGCCACCAGGCACCAGAAGTGATGAGCCTTGGGGAGGAAGCGGGGCCTGTGAATGACTGAGAGGTTAGAAGTTCAGAGCTGGAAGGTCTCCAGGAAGAGATCTGCCCAGTCTGTGCAGCAGACACTTCAGACCCAGGGCAGAACCCGGGAGGCCCAGGAGCTAGGGGAGGATGCTGGAATCCCTGGGGTGGCATGGAGGGTTGAAGGTGCCCCAGGTGTTGGGAAGAAAACAAATTCCACCACTTATGGACACCTGTATTAGTCCTACTCACCTGCGCCCCAGCTGCCAGAACAGAAGGGAGTGTTGGGGGGCAGTCTGTCCACATGCTGCCTGGTGGGACACACAGAATGGGCTGCCTCCTCGAAGCTCTTACTACACAGAAACCCCCTCTGTCCTCTTCTTCCTCTACAGCCTACTCCCCTCCCCCATTCACCCACCAGGGTGTCACACCCTTGCATCCTCCATAACTCTCACCTCTTCTTCCCAAAGGAGTTAATCAGAAACTAATTAGGAGGTTTGTGTCTCCTAGTTCACGCAGTATTTGGAACACAGCCAGGCATCAACGTGATGGGGATACAAGCACCTCCTCTAGTCTTGGGGAATCGTTAGTTAGACACATTCAGGTGCCTGTTACCTGAAGCCTGTGCCCTGGAAGTGCTCAGAGCACAAGGTGTGGGAAGGTGGCAGTTGGCTCTCAGCCTCCTAAAGGGAGAGGGCTTTCACCCTCCTGAAGCTTCCTGAAAACCAGGAGGGCTTCTGAAGCCCCTTGGCACAAAGGAGAATTGTGTCTGAGAGCACAGCTTCTTGGAGCTGGACTACCTGGGTTTATGGCATGTGATTCTAGGCAGGAGAGTCACCCTTCAGAGTCTCCATTTCCTCTTGAAAATGGGAACAAATACTCTAGACCCCTTGCAATGGCCTTGCTATGTCTGCATTAAGAACATGCATTGAACACATGCTGTTTCCCAACCATAAGTATTTTCCCTTTGGATTCTGACAACAGCCCTCTGATCTAGATACTATAATTATCCCTATTTTATAGATGAGAACACTGAGGCTTAGAAAGGTTAAGGACTAACTTTGCTAGGTATAGGAAACTTAAAACATCACTATGACTCATCATAATTTCATGAGTTTGTAAAATTGATAATTAGCACACTGTATTTTAGACAATATGTAATTAGTTACTGGAATGTTTCCTCCCTGGGTATCTCCAATCATTGGACATCTGTGTTAATTGCCCATGGGCAATTTTTTGAGACACCTTCATGTTTTTATATTCAAACAGTATCAAACTGATTTAAAAGAGCAGCTCCCCCCATTTATTCCCTATCCTTCCTCTCCATTTTTCTCCATAGCCCTATCACCCCCAACATTTATATATCTTATTCATCTGTTTATTGTCTGCCCTCATCCATATAATGTAAACTCCCCAAAGGCAGGGACTTTTAACCATTTTGCTTAATCTCGTATCCCCAGAGACAAAAACAACCACCAGCACTTCACATGCTCTGCAAATTATAAAGTGTTTTACAAACATAAGGTCTATTATTGTTATTATTTTTGCCAAATGTATAGCTTGCCTGAAAATAAAACCTTAAGGTTCATAGCAGAAACTTCCCTCAAAATTCTGGCAAAGAGAACCTGCTCAAGTGCCAGGGAAAATGTGATGAAGGTTAAAACCAGTTGGAGATTACTTTCCTAACATGTTAATAAAGCTCCTTATCAGTAAGTTGAAAGACAAGTTAATTTTTTTTAATATTTGAAAAAACAAATGGCATGCTCAAAGACAATTAAATTAGCATTTAAAATTTCCAATGAGTTAACTATCACTGATTTATTCACTTAACTCTTTGTTACAGAAAATCATTTGTAAAAAACAAAAGAACACAATAAGCCTCCTCAATCCCACCACTGCCCAGAGTATGGATACCCACATGACTGGATACTTCAGTCTATTTCCTTTTCATCTTTTTCTGTGTGTGAATATTTTCTCTCATTTTTTCCCTTAGAAAATAAGGGATCATGTTGTCAGCAGAGTTATATAACCAGCTTACTTGGTGACATCCCCTCACCATTGACATTAAAGTGAAAGTCTTTATATTATTAAAATTTCTTTAAAGCATGACTCCATGGCTATATAATATTCCATTATAAGCATATGCCAAAATTTTCTCAGCCTGTCCTCTGTTATTGGACACTGGGGTCGCTGCTGTAATAATGTTTTTCTAGATCCTTACTGGTGTTGTCTAGGGCTTCAATGAGTCTTCTCTACATTCTTGGTCATGACCTACTTGCTGGTTTGCAAATGGACTGGTGTATGTAGTTAGTGAATCCATTCTTAGAGGTTAGGCGCTGGTGGCAGTGGGGAAGGCAGCTGATCCAACAAAGCGCTACTCCAGGTAAACTAAGGCAACATGGAGACCCTGTAAGCTCCAGGCATTTCCTGACCAACCCAGGATAGCACACATGTAGCCAGATGTTGCATGGGGGCAGAAGGCCTCTTTGCTGCCAGGGCTGCCAAACATCCTGGATCCCTCTTCCAAAATCAGTACCAAGTTACTTGCTTGCAAATATATGTGTACTCTGCCAGCCTCTCTGTTATCATCCTCTCACTCTTTTTCTCCTCCACTCCTGAGTCATCTGTGTCTTCATTTGATCACATGACAAATGTTTACAGGCACACCTTGTTTTATGGCGCTTCACAGATATTGCTTATTTTTACCAACTGAAGGTTTGGGACAGTCTTGAACCAAGCAAGTCTATCAGCGCCATTTTTCCAACTGCATTTGCTCACTTCATGTCTCTTGTGTCACATTTTGGTAATTCTCACATTTCAAAATTTTTTTCTTGTTATATTTGCTATAGTGACCTGTGATCAGTGATTTTTGATACTGCTATTGCAATAAGGGGCTTCCCAGGTGGCGCAGTAGTAAAGAATCTGCCGGCCAACACAGGAGACACAAGGGACATGGATTCGATCTCTGGGTGGGGAAGATGCCCTGGAGGAGGAAATGGCAACCCACTCCAGTATTCTTGCCTGGAAGATTCCATAGACAAAGGAGCCTGGCGAGCTACAATCCCTGTTGCAAACAGTCAGACACCACTGAGTAAGCACACAACACAGTAAGATTACCACTTGCTGAAGGCTCAAAGGATGGTTACCATTGTTTAGCAATAACGCATTTTTAAAGTAAGGTATGTACAGTGTTTTTTACACAAACGGCTACTGCAAACTTCATAGACTGCAGGATAATGTAAACCTAATTTTGATATGCACTGGGACACCAAAAAAACTGAATGACTCGCTTTACTGTGGTGATCTGGAATCTCGCGGACCACCAAATCACAATTATCTCAGGTATTACCTGTAATGACATCTATCTGCATTTGCCATGGAATTTTTTTCTCCATTAGAGGGACCATCAGCTGGGTCTCACACTTCAAGACCAGCCCCCCTCATTTCTGAAACTCCTTTCTGTGTAAAATGAGGATTTGTTTTGAGATCCAGTGGTTTGAGCACGCATCGCAACGACGTGGCCCATCCCCCAGGCCAGCCACTGTGTGGCCCTGCCCAGTTCACCACGGACCCTGGCGAAGCGCAACCCTCCAGTATGGCTGCCTCTGCTGCGCATGCGCGAACCATCCCGTCTCGCGCAGTTACCCGGCTGCTTCTGCCAGGGAGACGGAGCCGGTCCCCTTAACCACAAGCTCACTCATCGAGATCGGAGTGTCACGGTGAGCCACGGAGCGGAGGGATTCTGGGAGCAGGGACGCGAAGAGAAGTGGGAGTGACGTGGACTTACCGCCCACCATTCAGCCACTTCAGAACCTGGAAAACTGCAGTCTGCCGGCCGCCCGCCTGCCCGCAATCCAGTCGGAGATGAGTCACAGGCAGGGACGCGCCTCGACTCAGATGCTGGGCGCTGAGTGAGACGGGCGCGAGGGAAGACGTGACCTGGGTGTCAGATCTGTGGTGTGGGGTGTCCCTGGCAGTAACCGCGAGGTAACAAGGTCCCTCTCTGCATTTCTCTCTCTCCATCTCTTCTCTGTGACTTTGGGTGGGTTATGTCACGAGCCTATGAGTTTTCTTATTTGCAGTATGAAAATGTTACCTACTTTAGGAGACCTGTTGCAGTAATTTCGGTGATATTAACTGGCACGTGGAGGTGCCTGGTGAACATGAGCCACCCTGAAAGCTGGAGTGCCCAGATTATCTCCATTTACAATGTCTACTTGACCGGTGGCAAAACCTGCCAGCCCCTTTCCAATCTCCTAGCCCCCTGGGAACTTACACAATCTCCACCACCCACCCAAACTGACCATGGAAAACCATATGTAATGCAGGGATTCTTTGTGGCCCCTGCCCTGGGAGGTCATCTCCCACCTCCCCATGCCCTGCGAAAACCCCAGTCTTAATCTCATAGTCACAATGCCCAGTGAGAGGAAAGAGGGGGTACAGGGGACCTCTAATAGACGTGTCACCTTGGGGACGATTCCTTGAAGCATGGGGGTGGTCAGCACCCTTTGTGGCATCAGATGCCACCAGGGTAGCCATATAGAATGTATACATTCATTGTGCATTTACTAACTGCCTACTCTACGCCAGCTCACTAGAAAGGGAAACAGGCTGGACCTGTGGAGGCTGGGGCAGAAGCTTGGGCATTTTCCTGAGGGTACTGGGAGCTACCAAAGACATTTCAGCAAATGACCTGATTCATTCTGCCTCTCTGGAAGTGGTACAAGAGATGACCTGTCAGAGCACTGTATCCTCCTCCCAACTCACACACAGCCACAGTGCACACCCGCAGAAACGAACACAGACACAAGTACACACATGTATTTTTAGAAAGCACAGATCCCAGGCCCTGAGATGCTTTGTGAATTTTCTGGTGTGAAATCACAGTTCCCCAAGCAGCCTGCCACACCAGTTCTAGAGGCCAGTTCTACTTTCACTTCCCTCATCAGAACTCTTGACTTGGGTTTCTATGGGGACTGGGAGTGGGTATCAGGCCAGCATAGGGTTCACACCAGGACAGGCTGAGCTGGAAGAAGTCACCTGGAGAGGGATTCTGAGGTCAGCAGCAGTGATGTCCCCTCCCTCCCACCCGCCTCAGGCAGCAGAATGAACATTTTGCAGCCACACACCTCATGCCAGGGACTGTCTGTACATAACCCCAGTCCTCATGGCAGGTAAAGTGTTCTTACTCTGCTTTCCCCAGGAAGACACTGAAGTTGAGAGGTAAAGTGCTCTGCCCAAAGCTACACTGCCAGGAAGTGGGAGAGTCAATATTAGCACTCAGGAACTGGATTTCTGAGCTTGGGCTCTCCAAAGACAGGTGTTTGTTTATTAAGTAAAAAAATGAATTCTTAGTATAGTTTAACCAATTGGCTCCATCAAAACATGGGGCCCATTTAGAGGATATATACATATATATAATAAAAAGGATCCCTGGAGAAGACAAGAGTGGGAACCTTTAGAACTGCCTCTTACGGAAAAGCTCTGTCCACAATGATATCATTCCTGGGATCAGGGAAGCCTGCTCCCCCTGGGATGTAGAGGGGCCAGGCGCTCTGCCCGTTGGCTTTCGGCCAGCAGCTTCCCCTGCAAGTGCCTGCTGGGCTCCACATCCATCCAAAGGCACGGTTTGGTTTCTCCCAAGTCGAGTGACCACACTCCCGAGGATAAGAACTCTAACTCCCTAATGTTCCCATGGCCTCCTATCACTTGGGGACCTACCAGGAGACTGAATCAGCTCAGATCTCCAGCAGCGTGAGAGGATGAATTACTTTCTGAAAATGTTTCCTCCACTGCAAACAGGTACTAGAGTGACGTGGCAGTCCTTTACTGCACAGACATCTTGACACCTGGATATTCACATAGGGGTGTGTGTGGGAGGGGGTGGTATTGGTAAAGAGACAATTGTATTCTCTAGCTCTTTATTTCTGAATTGGTAATTTAATCTAATAGGTACCTTCTAAGGAAGTGTGCTGGCTGACATTGTGTGCTTTGGAGTCACACAAACCTGGGTTCCAGTCCCAGCCTATAATTAGAATTTGTGTGACCCTGGAAAGCTTCATAACCTCTCTGAGCCTCAACTGCCTTATTTATAAAATGAGAATGAAAAAAGCATCTTTCTCTTAAAACGGTTTGATGATAATGATGATAATAATAAGGTTTGAGCTAGGCATTTACGAATACCCTTCCAGAGCCAGCTGCCTAGTTTCTCACTTTCTCCAGGTCTCAGTTTCCCCTTCTGTGAAATGAGGACATTGAGCTGATCTGTTAGGGTCTTTTCAGCCCTAACAGTTACAGGATTCTCAGAGGTCAACCCAGGAGAGATATTCGCCCCCTTCCACCAACCACTGAGATGCCAGCACATATTTGTGCCACCTCTGCCCTAGAACCCTCATACCCACCCCCCCAGACTAGGCACATGCTATCACAGTCACGATCCTCTCCCCAGAGGTTGACAACCCAGGGTACACAAGCCCCCAGCCTGCAGGGTCAGCAGGTGCCATGTGGGCGCCCCCATCACCTGCCTGTTTGTGTCTCTGCAGGTGAGCGGAGGGTCCTTCCCTGCGAGAAGTCAGAGCTCTGCGCGTGGGCAGGCTGGCTCCACTGTTCTGCTCCAAGGATTACATGTCCTTCAAACGCCCCTGCCCCTGTAAGTCTCCTCCCCGCCTCCTTCCATGGACTGGGGCCAGCATGGCAGAGTCAGGATGCAGAGAATGTTTCTAGGATGTTTGGCCAAAGAGCTCCAGGGGCCTGATAGGGGTTCGATGTGATATGATGGATGGGGGGAGGGCAACACAGAAGACCCCTGACAATCTGCAAGAGATGTCTCACCTTGCCAATCCCTCCATATCAGCACTTCCCAGAGTGTGGTTCAGGGTTCTTCCAAGGGATATTAATGAGGTTACTTTTTTTAAAATTCCATAGTCAAATGAGTGTGGGAAATGCTGAGTGACACAAGTCAAGTCAGTTTTGCTGGACTCTTCAGAGCCTTTAAGGTGATGCTGTGTTGTGAGGCTCCATTGGAAAGAGAAAGCCCAGGGGTCTACCCAAACTTAGCTGACAACAAGGAATGTCTCATGAGATGGGTGCTTCACAGAACACATTCCTTGGGGTTCAGTGTCTGAGGAAACCCTTCCGAGAGCAGCCTCACCAGACAGTCCCTTGTTTGTTATTAATAATTCATTTTTTCATCTAATGAAGCCACTAGATGATTTTGCACGTAACATTCTTCTCATGGCTCCCTGATGCCCACACATCTAGATGATGGACTTAATCAGATACACCCTGGGGCTCAAGGCTGCAGCCCCTGTGGCTTACTCCCCTACTCATCATCAACCCTGCCTTCACGACTCTTGCTGCCACCCTGACCCCAGAGTTGCCTCTCTCCCTGGCAGCCACCTGCTTCCTCCCATGATGTCCCCTGAGCCCCCTCCAAGGCACCATCATTTGCTGCATTTTGAGAGGACGTGCATAACCTCCCCATCCCTTCTCCCTGGTGAGGTTGGGACTGTGAGTCTGTGTGAGATCAGGGCCCCCAGGTGAGGTTCCCTGTCTACCTGTCAACTCCCTCACCCTGCTCACCAGTGTCTGTTCAAATCTGTACCATGTCCTACATCCTGGGGTTGAGGAACCTCTCCTGCAGAGAGTCAAACTGCCAACTGTCAACACTGTGAGCATCAGGTGGCTGCTGTAGTGCAGGTAGGGAGAGCTGGCCTATCCTGTCTGGGAGCGACCATCACCAGGCGTGCCGGGGGAGTAAGGTGGCAGTGTGTTCATTGTGCAGGGAATGTTTTCAGGAGGTAGGGGAGCGCATCCTGGCTGCTGGCTGCCGTGGGTACTGAGGAGGGCGTAGATCAAGAGTGATAAGCTTTCTGATACATAGGACAAGCTTGGTAACTTATTGTTACTGTTACCACCATGTCTGCTGTTGTGGAATGGTCAGCTATCAAAACCTCAGGCCAGGTGAGAAGGCTGCCACAGGAGCAGGTCAGAGCCCAGGAACACCTGCCCCACAGAGCGTCAGGGTGGTTGTACTGTCACCCCCAGGAGCAGCTGGCAGTGCAGAAAGCTGGGCTGCTGAGTGTGGAGGGCTTCCCAGAACCTTCTGGGGTTGAGCCAGGCCCTGTGGAGCCCTGCCGTCTGCACCAACAGGGGCCCTCACCCCAGGGCAAGGCTCTGCACGAGCAGCTCTTGAGGACTCCAGGGTGTGGTCACGGGTATCCTGGGCTGGTCAGGAGCAGTTACTGCACTTCTCTGAATCCCCCTCTCCCCGCACAGGCTCAGCACCTGGCATGTAGTAGGCACTCAATAAATGTTCGCTGAATGAATAAATGCAGTCCAACACTGTGGATGAGGCCCTGGAGGGGGAGAAGCTGAAGCTCCTGACTCTGCCACCAGACTCTCTCCGTGGCTCTGGCCAGCCAATCCTCATATCTAAATTGAAGCGGTTATCTGAGGCCAGGGGGTTCCAGGAGCTCAGAGCAGCTGTGAGGCTCCTTGGAGAGTGAGGGGAGACCAGGTGAGAAGAACCCAGATGCCCCACCACCCGCTGCTTCAGCCAGAGCAGCTCTGCTTACATCTCTGGGTTGGGGTCCGTTCAGATTCCGCGTAGAGGAGGAGGTCCCAGGCACTGGTAGGCCAAGCCCCATGTGGGTATCCAGGCCCACCTCTTCCTCTACCGTCTCTTCTCTTCTTTGCAGGATTCTTCTCTTCTCCTCAGTGTCCGGTCGGACTCTTTACCTTTTTTCTGAGCTAAGAAGTGCTCGCCGTCCTCCCTTTCAGCACCCCTAATCTGCTTCAACCTGGCTCCTGCACCCTCACCCCAATATGACATCAGCGGCTGTGTCACCAAGTCCATCCCAGAGTTTTCAGTTCTCAGCTGCATCTGACCCTGTTGGTCACATCAACCCTGCTGGTGGCTCCTCAACTGGGTTCTGGACTCTGAACCCCGGGGTTTTCCTCCAGCCCCTCTGGCTCTCTGGGCTCTGATCATCCATTCATGGTCTCCTTTGGTGCAAGAGGAGGGTGCATTCTTCCCACACCTGCCCAGGGATGCTAGGTCCCCCAGGACTCTAACCCCACTGGCCTTCTTGCCCTGTACTCCCCAGACCATTTCATCCTCACTCTTCTTTCAACTGCAGCCTATAGGCCAGCAGTTCCCATGACTCTCTTCCACCCTGGTTTCTGCCTGAGCTGATTCCTTCTGCCTTCCACTGCCTGGCTCCCCTGGGTAGCCCCACCTCCACTGCTCAAGTACAGCCTGTCCCACACTGAACTCCTTGCCCTCCCCTCCATGCCAGCTTGCTTGATTTTGCTGTCTTGGTTTAGGGCACCACCATCACCACCACCCAGTCCCACCGGCCAGAAATCTACAAGTGACCCTCAGTTTCCCTCCAACACCTGCATCACTACCAGCTGCCCAGGGAGAACCCAGGGTCTCCAAAGTAGGTCAACAGATCTCTCTCCTGACTTCCCCCCACCCCAGTCCAACCCCCTCCTCAGACCCCATCCTGGAAATTGCTGCCTCAGTAGATATTCATGGAACCAGACAACCAGACAAGTGAACAAACGGAGTGAAGCGGACTGCTTGTGGTTGGCCTCCTGGGCTCATAGACCAGAGGCCCTCACGTGGTTTTCTAGGAGGGATGCAGAACCACAAGAGTCCCTAATGCCCTGATTCACCTGGCCTGGGAACACTGAGGGACAAAGCCAGAAGTCTCAGGCTTCATCATCCAGCCACAAACACACACCCTCTTTTTTAGCATCTCTCCTGCTCTGTGAATTTAGACACCTAACAGGGAATTGCTTGAACCATCTTAGCTCACAAAATTATCTTACATGTGAAGATGCCCAAGCCCATTAAAATCTGGAGAACTTAGGACAGGAACCATAGCTTGTCCCTGTCTGGGTTTCCACACCCCTGCATCCTGCCAGTTGAGAGGGGCAAAGAGGAAAGTCCCCAGAAGGAAAAACAAGCACCAAAGCTTCCCTAGCAAGACCTGGCTCCTACGAGTTAAGAGTTCAGGGAAGTCAGGGAGTGTCAACAGGGAATGTGAACCTGGGGCAGGGCAGTGGGCACAGGTCTGGCTGGCATCCACAGCTTTGGACACTGGGTGAAGTGGGACCATCCACTGGCCTCTCAGGAGCTGGGCAGCCCTCAATCAGACCAGGCTGGGCCGACTTCTCCCAGGCCCTGCCCACATCCTGGGCTCCCCCCACCCCTATTACATCCCAAGGATCTTAGCTCATCTCAGCTTCTCACAGAGAGAGCCCCAACAAACCTCCAGGTCCCTCCCTCTCAGTCAGGCAGATGAAAAAAACTAAGGCAGGGAGAGGAGGCAAGAACAGGAGAGGGGAAGCCCTGAGGGATTTGGCCACAGGCTGCAGGAGGGAAATCTGGTCTCCTCCCTGCAAATGCAAGCCTGTGAGCCATTTCCAGCCTTAAGCACTGAGTAAGAAGGACCAGCCCAGCTCCTCAGAGAGGCTGGACGCGTGGGAGCTTCCTCCATCTGGCCCCAGCTAGGCAGGGCAGCCCAGGATTCCCCCAGGATCCAGGCTTCAAGAACAGATGCTTCCTAACTACTTCTTCACCACGAGCACATGGGAGCTCCACAGAGCTTCCTATGGTGTGAAGTGGGGGTGGCCTCAAGGGACAGACCTGGGGGGGAGGAGGGGCTGTGGGGCCTCAGGGGAGACTGAGGATGCAGCGAAGCAGGGCTGAGAGTAGAGGCAGCAACCACTGGTCCACAGAGGAACTGGATGGGGCTTATCTCTGCTAAGCTCACAGGCTGCCAGCAGGCCAGAAGGAAGCACAGCCTAGAAAAGCCTCTGGGTGGGCTTGGGCCTCCCTCAGAGTTGTGGGATGTGGTCGACAATGCTTGGGTTCAAGGACAACATAGCATTGACACTTGCCAGCTGTGAGATCTAGAGCAAGTTTCTTTACATCTAGAAACCTCAATCTGCTCATCTGTAAAATGTAAACAGTCATAATAGCCTTTTGGTTTGATGCCCAGATTTGATACGTCATAAGGAGAATCTAGCTTGGTGCCAGGCACTGAGAAGATGCTTGAGAAACTTGAAAGTCATATCCTTTTGACCACCCTCTCTCTACAATGCTTAACATGACCCAAGTCTTTGGCAACAGAATGGCGAAAATGGAGAGAGATGGGGACGCTGGAGATGAACCTGGGGTTTGGACCAGATACTATTGTTTTCTGCTCTGCTTATTGTATTACCTCTGAAGAGACTTCACTGTCAAGAGAAGGAAGAACTTGAGAGCTAGCTCCTGAACCCCCAGCCCTTGAATGGAGAGTCCACTCTGTGGCCCCATGAACATCCTGGCTACCCCTCCTCTGAGTTCTCTGGTCGATCCCAGAGTCTGACTGTAGCAAGTGCTTGGCATCTGGCAGCTAATCTCAGTTTCAAATGCACAATCATTTTATATTAATATTAGAGTCCTTAACAAGAGGGCATCAGCCTCAGCTTGAGTGCTTAATGTCGTACTGTTAAACAGCAGCAGTACCCCAGCTTTTGCAGAGCACTCCCAGCTGGCAGAGGTTTTGTGTCCCAAACTTTCTGAGTTTCTACTGCTCTCCTTTCTCATCTACCCCAAACCAATTAATCTGAAAACCCTAACAGTTTCACTTTGAA